CGATCATAGAGATAATGACCCTCCGTAAGTACGCCGGCCTGCGAAACGTACTCGCCGCGGATGGGTTTGCGCCGCCTCAGCTGAAACTCGCGTGTGACTCGGTCCAAGTCGTGCGCGACTCCGTCTTCATCTCCGCCCTCGGCATGCCCTGGGCCGTCGACTGGCGGTGGGAATTTTCCCGCGTGTATGTGGTCTCCCCAGATCGACGCCCGCTGCCCCTTCTCGTGAAACACCCGTGGTTCCGCAGGGGAAGCGTTTACTCCGCTCCGAACTCCGGTACGTCTCGCGAGTGCTTTTGTCGCTTCAATTAACCAAGTGCTTCTAGGACGCGGGTTGGTCTCCCTCGTCAAAGACGCTGACGGCAACTCTGGTCTGCGCGTAGACAAAGTGCTATCTCTCATACAACACAACATCAACACGAGCGCAATGCTTCCGGCGGAGGGCCAGGTCACGCCATTCTCCTCGAGGCTGATTTTGAAGCAGACCAAGATGTCGGAAGCAAAAATGGACGAGGGGCTGAGCCATTACGGACCCGCCGCCTTTTCGAAGTTGCCGTGGATCCGGGGAAACCGGAGTCCCCTGGAAGTATTCCGCCACTTCCCTTTGCCCAAAGGTCAACTTGAAGGCCTCAGTCGGCTAATGCATTAATGAAACTATTTCGCCGTATCCAGCCCTTTTCCCGGATGCAGAAACGCCCTCGCGATGTCGACCTGGAACCGCCCGATATATGCCAGCAGCTCTTCGTCCGGCAGCGCAGAGTGGTCCAACGCCTGCGTAAGCTGGGTACGCAACTGGGGTTGCCGTTCAGCGAAATGGGACGTTAGCGCAGTCGGCCCACGCACCCGGAGGAGCGCCTTGCGCCGGATCGCAATCTTGCTGCTTTCGCTGTCCTCCTCGTGGCGCGCGTGCAGCGCCGCCAGGCTTTTAGCCACACGTTTCCCCTCCGCCAACACATCGTCGGGCAAGTCCGCTAGACGCGCAAGTTCCAAGCCTATATATGTATAGCCCTGCGATGAGAAATATGGCGAGACGACGATCGCGGAGCACACCGTAGTGGTTTGATTCGTCGGGGGCACCGTCGACTATCCTGTGGCTAGTCAGGTTGCGTCCGGACAAGCGTAGCTCCAACTCACTTGTACTGGAACGTAACCCCAAAGTTTGCGCCCGATTTCGACGTGCGCTGGCGGTGGTTCAAACGCAATCTCTATATGTACACTCAAATGGGTCTTACCTGAACCGACAAGTGAAGGCTGCGTGACCAAGTTCAATACGAGGAGTTGAAAATTCAACCAAACGCACTTGATAACCGATGGCTGGCGCGAAAGCGTCGTGGTGAGCTCGTTGAAATGCCTGTATCGAATTCAAAATTCAGGTATTACGCGCAGAGCAAGGGACGCCGCATACGTAGCAAAGAACACAAAGGACTACATCTAATCAGAGTTTGAACCCCCTATGTTTGATCGACAGACCTTGAGTTCAATCAAACCTTCCGCGATCGCATGCGAAATCCCGACGCCCTCACGGGGAGAGGTACCGCGACCGAGCTCGTCAATCAGCACTAGAGACTGGGGAGACGCAAGCCCTGAGAAACAGACGCGTCAGTCCGGGGTTGACTCATAGCGGACCGCATTACCTAGAATCATGGCGGACGACGCCATTTCACTCGCAAACGTGCTCAAACTCTTCTCCATATCATCGTCATTCGAAAGGCGGCTGAGAAGCGCATCGTGGATACTAATCGCCTTTATAGGCAGTGGATGCGCTCCAAGAATGAGGTTCGCTTACCGGAAGCTCGCGTATTCGGCCGGCACAAAGCAGCCGCACATCGCAAGGACAGTCAACAGGCCAACTTGGCGGAGATACGTGCTTTTGCCTAGTTGAACGTCGAGTTAAAAAAAGATAGGGGGTTGAACTGGAGAATAGGTGTACCAGACATGCTTGATGCTGTGGTTGGTAAAACGATTTGAACATTAGCGAAGCACTCACTTGGGGCCTTGGACGATTTGGAAGGACGACGAATCGTCGCAGTAGACGTCGTTAGGGACGAGCGTCCCGGCAGATTTAATCGTCTCGAGAATGGGATGCCGCCCGGACTTGATCGCCAGCGTTCCTGTGAACTCCGGACGGACTTGAGAGAAGGGTGAGTTGTTGCAACTCGACGACAAAAATTTAACACACCGTAATTGTGCACTGCATGCCCAGCTCAGCGAAATGAAACCAAGATTCACTGAACGAACTTACTGATTGAAGTGTGGGCAAATGACCATAGCATATCCAGCAATGCGACCTGTGGATAATGAGCAAATCAGAGGCGGAGTTTGGAAGGCGCTTACAGCTTCAGAGGCCTTGTAAAGTGCCCCCACATCCACTAAAATATCAGCCACGAGGTCCTGTATAATTCTTCCTCGAAGTCAGGATAACGGAATATCGCCAAGAAGCTACGCACTTTTCGCTCAGAATGAACGTTTCATCCAACGCATCCTTCATCCTCGCGTTCATTTTCTTCTGTTCGCACCCAATGAGCAGTTCCTCATTTTATACGCAAAAATCATACCAAATCCATGCTAGAGAATGTCCATTTGCCTTTCTTGAGTGCCGCGTTAATAAATCCACGCGGGAGTTCGCCCTCGAGCTCGTTCTTCCGCAGCGTAAACACGAACCCTGTTTCCTGGTACATCAGCGAGAAAGGGAGGCTATGCGTTTCCGACAGGGTGCGATTCAACGCAAATATGTCGCCGACGTTTTCTTTGTACGTCTCCCGGGCTACGTCCAGCAGCCTGTTGCAATTTGCCTGCAAAAGTTGTCTATTACGAGTCGGAGGAGGAATTAAACACGTACTTTTACTGCGTAAACCCTCGCATTCACCGCTGCGATTCCTCCCTGGGAAGCATAAGTTCTGGATTATTCTGGCGATAAAAACAGGCTGACCTTGGCTGGTGCTCCGTCTTCGTTCAAATTCTCGCAAACGAGGCGTTCGATCTTGGCGAGTCTCTCGTCCGACAACATCTGTCGGATAATTCAATTCATGAGCAGTCACAAATTATGTAGCACAGACCTCATATATGACTTTCAGCAGCTGCGATTGGCTCCCTTCGAGGGCCTTCTGTAATGTGGGCAGGGTCCGTACGACATTTCTGAGGTCAAGCATCTGAGAGACGCGCGCCGCTGCCGGTTTAGCGATGCTGGTCGGTTTTGTTTCGGATGAAGCGAGCTGGGCGGAACATGAGTGCTAAACCAACTGCACTAAGACAACATACGGAAGCGATTAACTTGTCGAAATCCATCTTGTTGAGGGGCTTAAGTCCCGCGCGCACTTCCGTAAAGCGTTCCTCGGATTGAACGAGCTCTGCAGAGGATTAAATATATATTGCGGTCAGATCGCGGTAGTTTACCTTCAACGACGTCAAGACGAGCATCGATCGAGTTTTGAGCTGAGAAATGACAAGTCAGTTCCGTCGCGCAACAGAGTTGAAAATCGCCGTACCAGTGATCGGAGACAAGATATTGACTCGCAGAAGGCGGGATGCCATGGCGGTGTAAGTATGATTCAGCGTTCTAACAACTTATGAGCGTGATGGACGGAATTCCGAGACGTACGAACCCGAAGAGCGAATGTGTTGATTTCTTGTGGGACATGTTGCCTACGAGCTCCAGATTGCGGGCCGTATCTGGGTCGATCATCATAGTACCCTCAACGGGAACATATCGAATACGCAGGGAAGCCGACGCGAATCGTGTATTCAACTTAGTCTCGGCGTGTTTGAATAATGCACATGCGGCAGAGAGCGCGTAATATCTAGTAGACGGTCAAATGCGTGTAAAAAGTGGATATATGCGCACTTGTTTGCCACCGAAAGCAAGGTTCCTGCTCGTTCGTCGTCCTCCACACACAATTGGGATATAAATTCCAGGCCTAGGAGGAGTCTACTTAAGGATTTAACGATAGGATGATGAATGCAGCATACCGCCTGTTTCGTTCCAATATTTCCTACCAATGGGTTCAACGGGGACTCCAGGAAACTCTTCATAGATATATTGGACGAGCAAACACGTCGGTGAAGCATCCGTGGACGAAAGGAAAGTGTCGGGGACCAGAACCAGTACGGGGGGGTGTAGGTGCATCTGATGAAGAGTCTTCACATACGTTTGACAGTCTGCGAGCTTTCGAATAGTAGGATAAGTTAAATGGGAGGCAGCAGTTGGAAAAAAAAAAACCTGAACGAGCATGACTCTCCCCGTTTCTCTGTCAAGTGCAGCGATTCCAACTTCGCGCGCGACGCCCCTACCTTCGAGGAGCGCGATTACGTAGCTTCCGTCATGTCGCACAGATGCGGCCGTTGTTGGACGGCCAGTTCCAGGACGTGTTTGCGCAGTCCAAGGGCGTGTTTGCCCGGTGGTAGGACGAGAGGTGTCGAGACGCGACGTGAATGGTCTAGGCGAAGAACGCGACGCGCCTACGAATGGGCGGTGGTTAGAGGATGGGCGGTTCAGCATTGTCCACGACGAAGAAAGAGAAGAGAGAGTAAGTAAGCCACGTGCGACTGACCCAGTATGGGCAATCGATTGCCAGATTGGGACCGAGTGCCAGATAAGTTTCTGATGATTTTAATCTCGACCTGTATTTTTCATCGCACTCTGCCGCAGCCGAGTCCTGAATTGTGACACGGAAACGTGAGCCCATGTCCCTTGAGTACGTTAAAATCTCGAACATGCTCAAGCAGCAGGACCCGGTATGATGGAAGCGACCCTGCTTAGGAAAGGCTGGAGTTCTGGCGGATAGCTTGTAACGCTGAAATTAAAACCTTGCGGTAGATCTTTCAACTGAATTCCGTCAAATCTGAGTCTGCGTTCGAGATCTGTAGTCCGTCTGGACTCTGAAGTATATGGTCCGCTGGCCTGTGAATGTAAATTCCCTTGCTACTTCTTGCTACTTCTCGACCCCGCTTACACCCTGGGACCTAAACAGCATACTATGTCAACTGAAATCCAAGCGTCGTCGCGCGCACTATGGTTCAGTGGTAGAACCGCCCGATGCTTCAGTTCTTCTCATCGTGTCGGGTGGTCGGAGGTTCAATTCCTCCTGGTGGCACAAAAAAGAGGTCGCCGGGCCCGGGCCAATCCCCACGTTCGCAAGAAAGTCCCAGTTTAGTCTTGTTACGCCTCATGCGATACTGCCTTTCACCCCGGTTGCAACACGTCGGGTTTCCTGTTCTTTTTCTTTTAGCTTTGCCAAAGTTGTTTTTCGCATGAAAAAATAAATTTTGATCAAGTGCGAGGGACCATTCTTTGTAGGAACCAAAGTCAAGCAGAGTTTTCCATACCTTCTCGGGCGGCGCGTCGATTAGGATGGAATCTGCGACCGTGAACACGCCGGCGGAAGACAGGAGGAACACCAGAGCCAGACATGAAGACGCGCCGACGCGAGATATGCTCTTCGTGGCGGAGAAGCGAAAGGACGTCGATTGTTTCTAGCATCCACGGACAGACTCGTTCAAGCACGGCAAGACAAAGAAAACGTTGTGGCGGTGAGCGAATTGCAGCAGGCATTCGCTCGTCGCCGTTCAGCCGTCTCCGCATTCCTGTTCACGGATGCCAAGCCGACCCTTCCGATTCCATCGCAGGATCGCCGACCACTTGCTTCGCACTCCGTCGACCAACAACGCCCTCCTGTTCCGGTAGGGACCCCAGTGACGCAAACGTCCTCAACGCCCCAGACATCTCCCACTCTCGACACCGACGCGATCCCGTTACGAGTATTTATGTTTACATAATACTCGTTCTTTTCAAATCTCAGATCAGCCAAAACTCCTCTGTTTTCATTTGTCGGCAAAACTGATGTTATGGGAAATAGTGGCTGTGTTGAATGATTTTTAGTGGCTGTGGTTGTGTTTCATTAGACATTTTGTGACTCATTAGTGGCTATGGCCGTTTTGTTGCGCATGTTGTTGTGTTGTTTACATGTGCGTTTTGTGGCCGGCAGAAGCCGAGCATCAAATCTCAGCCCAGCCAGAATCCTTTGTTTTTCTATTGTCGGCAAAAACGACATTACGGGAAATAGTGGCTGTGTTGAAAGAAATTTAGTGGCTGTGGTCGTGTTTTATCAGACATTTTGTGACTCAATAGTGGCTATGGCCGTTTTGTTGCGCATGTTGTTGTGCTGTTGTAATGTGCGTTTTGTGTCCGTCAGTATACTTATTGTGCCAACTAGTTCCAGGCTACTAGTTCAACCAATATCACGGCGAGTCGCACTTTCATTGTGAAAATGAGTGCCTTCGTCTAATTTTGAGTCTACTTACTGTAGCCAGTTCGCACGGGCCGCGAGGAGCGACCGAAGGTCGGCGACGAGCGGCCCGTCCTTTATTTTTCCCCCTTGAAGTCTCTGTGCTTCTCCCTCACTCTTCGCCGCGCTGCATCTTGCATTCAAACTTGAAACACAAATCACTCTCCGCTGAGACAAGAAACTAAGCCACTTTTCGAAGTAAGATCTCCTCCAATATTGACTTTGCTCTTGTCTCTTTTTGTTTTTATTCCAGGCATCGACGCGCTGCCAATGTACATTTGTGGCGGACCACCACGTATACCTCAAGATGCACTGGCTTAGCATCTTTCACAGTCAACCTTATAGCCAGTATCTGTGGCCCAATAACACGACTCGCTATGGTCCGAAACAAACCCATTTGCTTTGTACTTGACATTAATTCTCTTTGTTATCAATTCAGGACTCCGCCTTGAAATTCTCATCAGTTTACTGCCGGGAGGTGTTCTTGTAGGTATTCTGTAACCCTGATTTACAAGCATTCTCCCAGGACTTCGCGACCTTGGTCGTTCAATGCCTCCGGATTTGCCGAGCCATATCGCCAAACATTGATTTTTCTCATACAATTTGTCTCCAGCTTGATTGACTTGGACCGCGAGCGACCAAAGTTCGGCGGCGAGCGGCCCGTCTTTTTGTTTTTCTTCTTCCTTCCTTCAAGCAACAATCTTTAAGTTGATGAGCAGTACATAGTTGGGTAAACGGAGCGCGCCTCCGAGTCGCTTGCACAATGCCGCAGGCATATCAGTTTTTCCCTTCGTTTGTTCGTTTCTCTCTTTCTCGCCAGTGGAGGTCAATGTTACAAACTGTAAGCTTGTTGATGTTTGGTTCGTCGCGCGCGTCCAGTCAAGCACGTGCACTGCATAAGTGAAAAATAAAATAAATAAATACGAGTTTTTGCCGGGCACAGCCGCGGCCCTATCACCCAAGTCAAGTGACGACAACACCAATCTGCCTGGCGTAGATTATGTTACGGAATTGGTGACGACCGCATTCGGTACTCGCAGGGTTCGCCGGCTCGTGGTTCCACCTATCGTCGAAGGGTCGGTACCGTCCCGAGATCCACAAATCCGAATGGAACTAGATCGCCTCCGGGCGCAGCAGAAGGTTGGGGGTGGTGGGAGCAGCGTAGTAGGAGCTGGCATTGGGTGGGGGTATGGCGACCGCTCAGTAAGATTGTCGCCAGTTCAACGGTCAATTCAGTAGACGTGCATGATTTGTTTCCTTTTGTATCTGTTTCTTTATCTATGTGCTTCTTTCTCTACGAATCTTCACAGTGGCGGACAAGTGAAAGGACATCGATTTTTTCCAGCATCTATGGGCAGGCTCCTTCCGCCCGGCTCTTGAGCCCTTCTGCCATCGCCCTGACACCGAGAACCACATTTTTCTCCATAAAAAACTTGAACAGATACGCGACAATCCCGCTAAACACCTCTATGCTCTCGTATTTCGTCTTCCCACCCTCCACCGTCAGCATCTGCCAGCGCTCACCCTGAAGCGCCCAGCTGGGCAGCTTGGAGGTGATCCACCCGGCGCGGTAATTCTCGTGGTCCATGGTCGTTATTCGGACGGTGGTGCTGAGCGACCCCAAGAACCCCGGCGTGCCCATGGTTGGCGGAAGATGCACAGGCGAGATAGTCATCGTCCGCCCGGTGGCGGGGGTCTGGTCCGCCAGCGCGGTGCCATTGTCCAAGATGAGGGTTTGCCCACGGCTATGTGCATAGAACTAGTCAAGCATGGGCTACTTGTAAAGCAGGAGAGCATACACAAACGGGTTCCTTATGTAGGTGTCATAAAGGGATAGCTTAAATAAGTGGCGAGAGACCCGACCATTCTTTGTAGGAACCAAAGTCAAGCAGAATTTTCCATACTTTTTCGGGCGGCGCGTCGATTAGGATGGAATCTGCGACCGTGAACACGCCGGTGGAAGACAGAGGAGGAACGCCAGAGCCAGACATGAAGACGGGCCGACGCTCTTGGTAGTGGGAGACAAGGTGAGGGAGCGGAAGAAAGCGGAATGATGTAGGAGACGGATTTGCTCTATGAACCAGACATGAAGACGCGGCGATGCGGGATATGCTCTTGTTGTGCTCTTCGTAGTGGAGGACAAGGACCAGAGTTACAACAAGGTGGGGAGCGGAAAGGAAGCGAAATGATATTCGTACGATGTAAAACCAAGTTCGAACAAGAGAAAATTGTATTTACAGTTCATGACTGAGAAAGTATAAACAATACAGCTGATTACAATACACAGACGATGATGATTATTCGTGATTCAAACCCATGCAAGTCGTTTCGCGCCAACAGGTCAGCCATTACAGCTCCGCGCTCGCCTTCTTAACGTTCTCTTTCCCTTTCTTGGCCTCGGCCTTCACCTTCTTCGCGTCGGTCTTGGCCTCGTTCTTCGCTTTCTCGCCTTCGCCAGTGAGCATCTCGAGCACGCGGGCGAGCTTTTCCTCCGTCGCCTCTACGCCCGAGTTGACGATCTCGCGGATGCGCTCGAACGTTGTCTGGGTCTGCACCCATCTGATGCGCGTTTCCTCTGTGAGACCGCAGGGTTAGACGATGAAATTCATAGCGAAGCAAAGGACGCACGGAGAAGACCAGGGCGGGATGTCGGGAGCGCCGATTCATCGAGGCCGTGGTTGCGAAGGTAAGCGCGGAGTCGGGCATCAGGCCATGTTAAATAGGATGCGGAAGCGCCGGCTGCGTCGTCATACTTGGTCTGCATGAGCTTCACCAGCTCGTCGCGCTTCGCCGGGACGTTCTTCGCGCCATGCTTCACCAGCCACTCGCGCATCTGGCTGTCGCTCCACGACTCCCACAGGGTGTCCTGCGCGTTGACATAGTTGTCCTGGATCAGCTTCACGAGCTTCTCGCGCTGGACCTGTGCCTCGCTCTTGACGACGCCGTGCGCGACGAGCCAGGCTTTGATGTCGCTGTCGCTCCATGTGCTCCAAACGGAGTCGTTGACATCATAGTAGTACTGCGCCATCTTCGCCTTGAGGACGTCCGTCTTGGGCGGCGGGGCGCCCGGCGCGACGAGGTCGTGTGCAATGAGCCATTCGCGCTGAGGGGGGGAGGTGAGTAGGGTGGAAAATAGGTACGGGAAAGATGCATACCATGTAAGAATCTGACCAGGCCTCCCAGACGGGAGTGGTGACCTGCGCGTATGCATCCCGCATGAGCGCAAGCAACTCCGCACGTTTCTTGTTCGCTGCATCCTGAGCGATAACCTTCTTCTCGACGAGATACGAACGCAGTTTGTTATCGTCCCATGTACTGTAAACATAATCGGTCGCATCGTTCAGCTGGCGCGAGACTTCGCGCGTCGCCTGCGCCACCACGGAGGAGGCGCTCTTGGTCATTTGGTGTGTGGTATCGCCGTAGACGGCGGTGCTAGCCTGAGCGGAAAAGCTCGACGCGGCCTTGGTGTAGTCGGCGTACTTGCTCTTGGCCAGGAGCACGAGCTGCTCGCGAGGGCCTTTCGGCGCAACGACGCCCTGCTCGAGCAAGAAGTCGCGTAGACGTGATTCATCCCAGGCATCGAACGAGGCCTCACGCAGGTCCGCGAAGGACTTTTGAGCGCTCGCGTACTGGTCGTAGGTCCACGCCGAGGCGAGGTTCCAGTTGGATTGCACGAGGTCTTTGAGCTGCTCCTGGGAGTAGGTCTCTGGGACGTTGATGTTGTGCTCTGTGAGCCACTTTTTGAGTTCTGCGGTAGACCATTCGGAGTACTCTGGAAAGAGGTGAGAAACAAAGTGCGCTAGACACGA